ATGACAGCCGTATCACCTCGTGTGAGACATTATCTTACAGAATCCTTGGCCGGAAATTCTTGGGTACCAATGGCTTTCCTGTCTTTTAGTTCTCACATCCACTTGTGTGAAGCTGTATCATACAGAAAAATGACCCCAAATCCGCTCTTCATTCAACGTGGCAGCAAAACACTGAGGCTTTGAACGGAACGGGTTGCCATAGCACCCCCAAAGAAAGCCAACTTGATGTGAAGTCTTTAGGTGTGAAGGACGCTGGGCACTCTAGAGGTTATCACACAGAAGAGTGGCCACATGGAGGGAAGCGTGGCCCTTGGCAGGGCAGGAAATTGACACGATGTGGAAAAGTCTCCAGGGGTGATTTGGGATCTGTAATGAAAGAGAAAGGGAGATTGAGAGCAAAAGAGAGTGTGTGTGTAATTACACTGACAATTCTTGCATTTCAACATCATATATCCACAGCCATTATTAACAGTATGTCTCCCAGAAAATGCAATGTAAAAAAATTCACATTTTATTTAACCTTATTCCATTTATTTGTCAATGGACCATGTTCAATTACAACATACATTTCATAAGAACTTTATAGCAGGCACAGCCACCTGTCGACATAAAAATGACCTTTGTAGTTGTGCAAACTATTATAGTCCATCCAATTTAAAAATGTATAGTTCAGCTGACTTGAAATCATATGTAAACAACACCATTTGCTCAAATCAGGAATGAATGATAGTGTAACTTTCCTGCCAAATTAAAGTGATAAGGTAACTAGCTGTGGAACCACTTACCTAATCGTTTTAAGTTGTGGGTGGCAATTATTACAGTGTTTAGTTCTTCACTAATGTCTCTTTACAATACATGGCTGCATTCAAACAAAATATGCTCTTCTAAGTAAGTGTTTAAACATACAAGGAGGGCTATATGTTATTCTCCTTGTGACATTGACATTTACAAATGCATCTGCTGCAAACGTAAGCTCTCTAAATGTTCCCTCACTGTTGTTATTACATTACCAGCACGGTCATATCATAAACATTATCACCAAGGGCATTCTTTTCAGAAAATGCAGAGGCTGTTCACAGGGTAAAAAAATATAACACGTGTTTGAAAGTGTAGCCACACCGGTGGACATTGGAGATCTTCCATAACAGCATGTTCTGTAATATTCCACCAATGTTTGACTAACAATTGCCTAACGTTAGCTCCCTTTATGTAACGCCATCAGTGGCAGCTGGAGCTGAACATCCGCAGCTTGCCTGCCATAGCGGGGGATGGTGGTCAAGTGGCCTCTGTGTTCTACATGTAGCTACCGACTAGCGACTACACTCCGCTTTAGCACTTAGCACATAGATCTACCCGGCTTCACCACAACACTCCAGCCGAAAGTGCATCTGCAGAGTACAACAAGCTCGAATGTACCGATTGTGAACGAGTTCTATCTGTGGACGTGGATGCTTTCAACTCTTGTGAGACAGATCGATAGAGGTTTGAGTGTGTGAGAACTGAAAGTGTGTGTGGTGAGTAGGTGTTGGGAGTTGATGTGACGGTGAATGATGATGGCAGGCAAATTAGCTGGATGGAGAGAAAAGCTACAGGTAGAGGATGCCCCTTATAACAGATCTCAGATCAGCTCTTCCTGGCCCTGAATCTGTGCTTAGGGGCAACTGCAATACGAGTATGAATGGCTTTTCCAGTGGAAAAGTTACAGTTTGAGCATTTTAAAAATGAGTAATGTCCCCTAAGCATTGGCTGATTTATCTCTGCTTACATCATCTGAGTTATAAATTGAGGCCCAGACAAAAGAAGTGCTGGTTTGCTCTGATATCATCTCGACTCTATTTCAATGTAATTTATTACTTCTGTTTCCAAACCAATGAGTCATTGTTTTTATATCACAGTTCTCTCCTTTTTTTCATTATTCGCTAGGCTAGGCTTCAGGTTGTTTTAGTCGCAGGTCATCTTTCCATCGTTATATGCTAAAGCACCATGCACTGTACGTCTCAGAATGGAGAAACCTGTGGAACGGCCAGATGGCAAAGCAGTGTGTGTGTGTGTCTGTACGCCTTTGTGCATCTGTGTTTTCATGGTTGTTTAAGAATGAGTGTGTCAGGGTGTGTGTGTGTGCGCATGTGAGTCAGGCTGTGTGTTTATGTGCAGGAGAACCCAAAACATCCCCTGAGGTGTAGCTATAGTGTTATTGAACAGACACTGTTTTGTCATTGCTGTGTTCTATCCCTGAACGTCCCCTGCAGTCTGTCACAACACGACCCTGCCTCCAGTGTTTAAACCAATGCAACAACCCAACCTACCATCACACGGAGTGATGGTGATATCAGTAGCAGAACACAGCTTGTGCTATTATCACCCCCATCACCCAGAGTGACGGCTAGCATTAGCATACAGCCATACATTCCTTATGGCTTTTCAGACACTGACAAAAATATGTTGGGGTCTATGGAACTGTGGTGATGGTAGTGGTGAATGGTATAGGGGGTGCCATAGAGGTGGCGTAGGGGTGAGAGAACTGGGGGGGAAGAAGGGAGGGTGGTTGTCTAGAGAAATGGGGATGGCGGGTGTTGGGGAGTTTGCTGTGAGCAACGGTTTTTGACCCAAAACACTTTGGTTTATGTTGCACGCCAGTTGCCTTGCAGTTTCGTTCATATGTATGCGCCCTCGATGGATGGCTGGGTGGGTGACGGTGGGAATGAGTGATGAGAGAAACAAGGGAATAAGAAAGAGGAGAAGAAAAGAGGAAAAGAAGGGAGCGAAGGAGAGGAGGGCGATAAAATGGCTGATGGATGACAGAAGTCGATTTAGAAAAAGGGGGGATGAGGGGTGATTGATGAGAAACAATGGACAAATAACGACGGTCGAGATAAAGAGGTGACAGAAAGAAGAAAGGGAATGAGAGAACGGGAGGAGAAGAAAAGGGGGAGAATAGAGGAGAGGGGGAAAAACACACTCACCCATCTCAGTCCCCTCTCCATGGGCGAACGAACGGTTAGCCCCTGCGTGATTAGCTGTTAGCGGTTGCCACGGAGAGCGAGTGAGGGAGTCCTCAGCCGAATGCCAAATGGACAGCTATTATGAGCATGTGCACCAGCGCCGGGAGAAAGAGGAGAGAGAAGTGGAGAAGGGGAGGAGGAAGGGGAAAAAAAAGGGAGAAAACAGAGAGAAGAGGAGCAGAGGAGAGGTGCGTGGTGCAGGCACAATAGATACACTAAACTGTGTCCTTTAAGCATTTCTTGAATTCCCCAAAATCCGTCCCATCCAAATCCCCTTTTCCAAACAGAACGATAGATCACTTTCTTTCCAAGAGGCAACCACAGCTCCAGAGTATATTGACAGGCAGACAGATACACACACTCCCTCTCAAATACATGCAGAGGAAACGCTGTCGCAATCACACCCTGAAACGGCTCCCCTGGCAGTCACAAGAAGAGAGAAATCGCCCTCCTCCACTCTGTGCTTCTGTGGTGCTCCTCTTCTTCATAAAGTTCAGTCCATTTAGAGATGAGTGAAAGGCGCGTAATTGCTCCTCTGTTCCCCCTTTCGTTTTGACTCCTCTCTTTTCTATATAACACCTCTCTTTCTGTTGTTCCTCAGTATTGGGCACGCTGTATTTCCACAGTGTGGGGCTAGCGAAGGAACTGACTGCAATCACCACCACCAGCAAGCTCTTGCTCTCTCTCTGCTCATTGTATCTCAATACCTCTTCGGCTCTCTCCAATCCAATCAGCTCTCTCTCTCTCTGACAAATATCAACTGGCTGCCACCCTTTCATCCCCTTCTGTCAATCAAAGAAACAACATAAAAGAAACATCAGCCAGTCTCTCTCTCTCTCTCTCTCTCTCTCACGTTCCCGTGATTAATTCTCTCACATAGCCATTCATCTGCCTTATGTTGTTTAACCACGTTTGTTTGTGTCACACACACACACACACACACACACACAGGCAACCATATTGTAACATAACACACTGACATACAGATGTAGGATCTTAATTTGATCCTCCTGTTGCAAGAGAACTTTCCTGCAACGCAGGAAATGTAAAACTTGTCATGTATTTGAGGTTTAAAACGTTTAATTTCCACGTTGACATTTCTGGCTTGATTTTCCCTTACGAAAAATGTATCAACCCCTACAAAAATGTCCATTCATTATAATCCACCTTTCCTGTTGCTGCAGGATTATTTTCCTGCTGTAGCAAACTGGCTCAAATTTAGATCCTACATCTGTAGAACCACACAAATTCCATTAACAAACAAACACAGGGGCATATCAATGTCTATCCACACACTACAAAGCACACCATATTCTGTTTATGAATCACAGGAACACACACAAACACACACACCGACTCACACACAAGCTATGTGGTTAAACAACATAAGGCAGATAAGGCTATAGGAGAGAATTTATCACTGAGGACACGTGTGTGTATTCAGCAGTAGTAGCATCCAGTGAGGATAGAATAGAGGGAAAGGGAATGCCTGATCACAGGGGGAGACAGGGCTCATAAACCTTCTGCCCCACAGGAGTGTTACATACCGTCGTCCCTCACAATAAGTTCTACTTTTCCTCTTTTATCCTCTCTCAAAGCAGAGTCCCCCTGGGCCATGGTGTATAGGTACTCCCCTCCCCCTCCTTTTCATTCTCTTACACCCACACAGCCTACACTACACAAACACAGGCACATCGGCTATAGGAATCACAATAAAGCATTTGCTTTGGAAAGCTCCCTAAATCAATGGTGTACACAATCTCGATACAAATAAAATGGGGGAAATCGAATGTGAGGTGATGCAAATGTATACAAAATAAATAAGAACAAATTTAGTCACGACCGATCATGAAATCAATACTGCCTAGATATTCAGAAGGATGAGACACAACCGGGAATGTCTAGCACGTCAGAATTGAAACTATAAAACTGTCCAGAACCAGCCTAGATGTATTGGAAAACAAGTACATGAGCCAAATACAAATGTCTAGCTACATTCTACGGCCTGCAAATCACACATACTAAAAATGAACACAGACACACTCACACATACCAGTACGCGCTAATGCATTCACACACAAGCACACCTTGACATTAGTGTCCCCCGCTGAAGGGCAGTGTGGTCCCCACGTCCCTTCATCTGAATGTAAGAACTGTGATGTTTTATCGTCCCTGTTCACTCTTCCTGTCCTCTCCTTTCAGGGCCTGTCTGTGTGGTCCCACTGTTCACCACAACCTGAGAACACTATGGAGGGGAAAGCCAGAGAGAGAGAGAGAGAGTCAGAGAGGTGTGCTAGGAAGATTATGAAGGGGAAAGCCGGAGACCGATATAGGGTGAGTGAGAGAGCAGGTGGTGGGGAGGGTGTTAAAAAAGCAGAGAACTGACATTCAGCCCCGGCGCCATACCTTGGCTGTGGAATAATGATTAGGCTCTCAGCATGCCAGTCACTATCAATGAGTGAGTGAGCAAGAGAGAGAGGAGGGGAGGGAAGAGAGGGAGCAGGAAAGCGACACATTAGGGGAGAAACAAGGTGAATAAGAGAGAGGGTGGAGTGAAAGGGGGATTGAGCGGGGGGGGGGGGGCTATACATTTTTTTAAAAACAGAGCCCCGGGGCCTATGATTTCTTAATCCGGCCCTGACTCACACACATGCGTGCACACACAGCAAATCCTTGCAGGTAGCGCCCGTTCTCAGCGATGCCAGATGCCACGTGTACGAGTGATGCTGTGGGGAGGGGGCTTGGCAAGGATAACCATAGGTCAAAAAGATGGTGCACAGGACTTGAATTATGTGCAGAAAATAACACTGTGTACGACTGTAAATGTGAGGACATAATTCTAGACTAAAAACTACAGAGAAAAGATAAACAGGAAGAGAATGTCCCATCAAACTAGGAAGAACACATCCTCTCGAAACAGAAAGGACATGTGAAACAGGAAGGACATGTCCTCTTAAACCAGGTTCCACACACAACTTCGACACAACACTAAAGGGACACATTCACTGACAAAAGGCACTAGCTGTGTCAGCCAGACTGGATTAGGGGTTTATGGAGTCCATGCTTGCCCTTTTCCAGCACTGGACACATTTCTGTGGTTGTTTACGTGGATGGGCTAGTCATCCATCACACAGGGGCCATTTTAGGTCTCAGCTGTGGCTGCTAGGTAGTAGGGGGCCTAATCACTGTTACATGTTAAAGCCTCCCCCTTTTTACATTTACATTTTAGTCATTTAGCAGACGCTCTTATCCAGAGCGACTTACAGTTAGTGAATACATGTTTTTTTGTTTTTTTTATACTGGCCCCCCGTGGGAATCGAACCCACAACCCTGGCGTTGCAAACGCCATGCTCTATCAACTGAGCTACATCCCTGCCGGCCATTCCCTCCCCTACCCTGGACGACGCTGGGCCAATTGTGCGCCGCCCATGAGTCTCCCGGTCGCGGCCGGCTGCGACAGAGCCTGGATTCGAACCAGGATCTCTAGTGGCACAGTTAGCACTGCGATGCAGTGCCTTAGACCACTGCGCCACTCAGGAGTTTTTCCCCATTCCAGACAGTTGGGAGGCAACACCTGACATAAGCGTCATGATTTGGCTTATTTGCATGACTCAAATTGAGAAATATGATCTGGCAGAGAAAATTGATTGCTGGGATTTCACTACCGTAATGCCTAGATGAGATGATCTATCTTGTTTGCGAAGAAGACAAAATGAAGTAACGATGAATAGTCATAATATAAATTCTGAAATCACGACTGAGCAGAAATAGACTCTGAACGTCTGAATGTGAAGCTCCGAAATGTCAAAAGGGAGTTACAACATTGACGTTAACATGGACAAAGTGGTTACGTGACGTGTGACAAGACTTTACACAAACTGAAGGGAGGTTAAATGCTCCGTCTCACCACCCTCTAGATTCCCACCTCAAGAGTGTCGAAAACAAACAAAGCTTGAACTTGTTGGGCTCCTGCCTCTCCAATGTCTGTCACAGGAATCACATCAGTGGCAAGAGTTGTTAGAGGCTTTCACTGCTTAATGTAGTAGACACATGGAGCAAGTGGCAAGTGCACCATGCCCTGTCTCAAGGCACCGATGCTTGTACCCAAGAATTGCTGACATTTGCTGGATCTTCTTGACGTTAGCTGGATTTCAGAGCATGCAGACACAGAAAAATAATTAATATTTCTTAATGATCTTTAGGGCTTTTCACACTATTGACCCAAACCGAGCCAGGCCAAGCCAAGCTGTACTGAGCTGGTCTGGTTATGCATCCACCATAGTTGCTGGAACTGTGCTTAAAAGGAGAATGTGAAAAGAGAATATCCAAGCCAGCACAGTTTAGTTTGGGTCAGCACTTTAGTCTGAAACAAGTAAAAATGTTAAGACATTACCCTCATTAATTCTTGATCTGACTAAATCGGAATGTTTTTACGACAAAGCAAATGACGGACACAATTATCCTTAATTTCAAGGTCTTTATCAGTTCAACGTGCTGCCATTCTGTTTTAACGACACCCCCCGTGATCCATACACGCCATAGGATGTGAAGGCACTTAAAGCTTGATGCTTAATTTGACAGTACAAGTGTCTCATTGACTTAACTGCCTACCTGCCCGCATTGCAGACATGGTCCTGTAAAAAGGAACAACAGATCAATTTCAGTTCCAGTCTGACCTGGTGTCAGATTTTGCTGGCATTCTAAACAAGCCTGGCTGGGACTGACACCATTAGCACTTGGATGACTCTAACCCAGACAGCTGCCAACAGTCGGCATCTTTAGACCTCCCTCCCCACCGCATCAACTGTTGTCAAGGGATTTGTTACCACAAATATACCACTAAATAGCTTTCCCACACCAAACAATCTATCTGAATCGAAGCCTAGTTAACCTACCTTTGGGAACCCTTTCATAAGTGGGTTTTGTAATTCACAGATCCTTCAGTTCATCTTGTTCATAATTCTCACTCTGAACAAGCGAGAACGGTCATTGCTGACTAGTAACATAGTGAAACTATATAGAAACAGACACATTATGTCAAGCAAGTACTTTAGTTATCGCCTTGCCAATAAAACACATTGAATCGTTTGAGACAGATTAAGGCCAACCCCCATGTTGTCTCCCTGCAAAAGGATGAACATTAAATGAAAATAGAGAGCATTTTATTCAAAGAAATACAACAGATTGTGAAGGCACTCTGTGTCAAATTGAGATTGAACACAGGCTCAAAAACATTCTATTAGAAATAACTTACTTCAAAGGCATTCTATACATCTGTACATAAATAGAGAACTGATCCTCGTAATCCTAACTTAACCACACCATCCCTTCACATTATATTTATTCAAGTCCCACTTCACTCCATTTCCCTCACTCCCTGCTCTCCACCCACTTCTTATCCTCTTTTTCGATTGTGACAGTTCTTCTCAGAAATTATTTTCATCCAAATGTCCTTGGCGGCCTCCTGTGAAATGTCTCACCAGTGAAGTTACATCAACTTTTCACCCTCTGCTCACCAGCCTGCTCCACGATGACATGCCGCATGATGGTGCCCCCCAGCGTCCCGCCCTGCCCATTGCCCACAGCAACTGAGGGGTGCAGGAGGACGAGGGGCGCAGATACGGAAGAAGACTGGGGAAGAGAAGACCCTCCCTGAGAGACTACTTGGGGCTGAACAAGTAAGATCGTATGTACGGCCGCCTGACTCTCCATATTCCCCTGAATTTTGACCCCTAGGACGGCATTCTGCTCGGTGATGCCCTCCTGTGGCTGTGCCGGGGGGCAGCAGCGGTGGGTCTTGCGGTGCTTGCCCAGGTTGGAGAGGGAGCGGAAGGCCCGGTGGCACACTGGGCAGGAGAATGGTTTCTCGCCGCTGTGGGTGCGGGCGTGCTCGGTGAGGCGGGCGGCCAGGACGAAGCTCTTGCCACAGACACCGCAGATGAAGGGACGCTCGCCGCTGTGCAGACGCTCGTGGTCGCGCAGGTGAGGGATCTGTCGGAAGCGCTTCCAACATTGGGAGCACTGCGGAGAGGAAAATGAGGAGGGAGGGACAGGAAGAGGGAGGGGCAGGAAGAGGGAGACAAGGTTGGAGTAGGAGTGAGGGAAAGATACAGATAGACAGTTATTGCTAATGTGAGCACCCACAAATATTATCAGGTAGAGGGAAACAGCTTTTAAGTGAAAATACAAGGCTTTAGCTACCTTAAAATGGCCTTTAGATACTGGCCCAGAGTGTTCAAAGATTTACGGGGGTCTAATGAGCTGCTAAGAGCTTTATACTCGACACCCTGAGCCTGGAGTGTTACCGACAGGCGGTTGTTAGGTGACGTACAACGCCTCCTAGCGGCCACGTTGGAAGACCACCGTATCAATTCTTCCAACGACAACAGCTGAGTGGCTACCCCAAACTTCATGATAACAGTGCCTAAAACTAGTTGATTCATCACCACAGTGAATTTCTGTGCAGTAATTGGCTGCTCTTAGGCAGGAAAGACAACGGGATTATATATATATATATATATATATATATATATATATATATATATATATATATATATATATATATATATATATATATATATACATACAGTGGGGAGAACAAGTATTTGATACACTACCGATTTTGCAGGTTTTCCTACTTACAAAGCATGTAGAGGTCTGTAATTTTTATCATAGGTACACTTCAACTGTGAGAGACGGAATCTAAAACAAAAATCCAGAAAATCACATTGTATGATTTTTAAGTAATTCATTTTCATTTTATTGCTTGACATAAGTATTTGATACATCAGAAAAGCAGAACTTAATATTTGGTACAGAAACCTTTGTTTGCAATTACAGAGATCATACGTTTCCTGTAGGTCTTGACCAGGTTTGCACACACTGCAGTAGGGATTTTGGCCCACTCCTCCATACAGACCTTCTCCAGATCCTTCAGGTTTCGGGGCTGTCGCTGGGCAATACGGACTTTCACCTCCCTCCAAAGATTTTCTATTGGGTTCCAGTCTGGAGACTGGCTAGGCCACTCCAGGACCTTGAGATGCTTCTTACGGAGCCACTCCTTAGTTGCCCTGGCTGTGTGTTTCAGGTCGTTGTCATGCTGGAAGAACAAGCCACGACCCATCTTCAATGCTCTTACTGAGGGAAGGAGGTTGTTGGCCAAGATCTCGCGATACATGGCCCCATCCATCCTCCCCTCAATACGGTGCAGTCGTCCTGTCCCCTTTGCAGAAAAGAATCCCCAAAGAATTATGTTTCCACCTCCATGCTTCACGGTTGGGATGGTGTTCTTGGGGTTGTACTCATCCTTCTTCTTCCTCCAAACACGGCGAGTGGAGTTTAGACCAAAAAGCTCTATTTTTGTCTCATCAGACCACATGACCTTCTCCCATTCCTCCTCTGGATCATCCAGATGGTCATTGGCAAACTTCAGACGGGCCTGGACATGCGTTGGCTTGAGCAGGGGGACCTTGCGTGCGCTGCAGGATTTTAATCCATGACGGCGTAGTGTGTTACTAATGGTTTTCTTTGAGACTGTGGTCCCAGCTCTCTTCAGGTCATTGACCAGGTCCTGCCATGTAGTTCTGGGTTGATCCCTCACCTTCCTCATGATCATTGATGCCCCACGAGGTGAGATCTTGCATGGAGCCCCAGACCGAGGGTGATTGACCGTCATCTTGAACTTCTTCCATTTTCGAATAATTGCGCCAACAGTTGTTGCCTTCTCACCAAGCTGCTTGCCTATTGTCCTGTAGCCCATCCCAGCCTTGTGCAGGTCTACAATTTTATCCCTGATGTCCTTACACAGCTCTCTGGTCTTGGCCATTGTGGAGAGGTTGGAGTCTGTTTGATTGAGTGTGTGGACAGGTGTCTTTTATACAGGTAACGAGTTCAAACAGGTGCAGTTAATACAGGTAATGAGTGGAGAACAGGAGGGCTTCTTAAAGAAAAACTAACAGGTCTGTGAGAGCCGGAATTCTTACTGGTTGGTAGGTGATCAAATACTTATGTTGTGCAATAAAATGCAAATTAATTACTTAAAAATCATACAATGTGATTTTCTGGATTTTTGTTTTAGATTCCGTCTCTCACAGTTGAAGTGTACCTATGATAAAAATGACAGACCTCTACATGCTTTGTAAGTAGGAAAACCTGCAAAATCGGCAGTGTATCAAAAACTTGTTCTCCCCACTGTATATATAGATTACTCACAATCATGAAACACCAAAGGAGATATGACTCAAGAACTGTCAGAAAAGCGAAGAAACCTTTTTCCCCTGTCAAGACCTGAACCCAGACAGCTGTCAGTACAGGGTCTGCTCCGATCATGTCATCACTGGTAAGTCTGATCAATTTTGAGTTTAGTTTAGCTGTTATGCTAACCAGGTGTTGACAACAATTCTAAGTTAGCCAACATTAGTTAGCTAACATTAGTTAGCTAGCTAAATAGCTTGTAGTCTAGCTATTAGCATGTCTCTCTCTTACAGGCAGTGCGTGAGTTTCAAGTTTTGGGGGAGCTATTTTTCACTATAAAAATGCACCTTTATAATAAAGCATTGCATGCATCGATCATCTCATTTGCAGATTAATGGAAGCCTACTATTCCTAATGTGATGAGTAGATTGGATAGTCAGTTTATTAGGCTCTTAATATAACTAAATATAATCACTGTGCATACAGTGGGGGGAAAAAGTATTTAGTCAGCCACCAATTGTGCAAGTTCTCCCACTTAAAAAGATGAGAGAGGCCTGTAAACTCATCATAGGTACACGTCAACAATGACAGACAAATTGAGAATTTTTTTCTCCAGAAAATCACATTGTAGGATTTTTAATGAATTTATTTGCAAATTATGGTGGAAAATAAGTATTTGGTCACCTACAAACAAGCAAGATTTCTGGCTCTCACAGACCTGTAACTTCTTCTTTAAGAGGCTCCTCTGTCCTCCACTCGTTACCTGTATTAATGGCACCTGTTTGAACTTGTTATCAGTATAAAAGACACCTGTCCACAACCTCAAACAGTCACACTCCAAACTCCACTATGGCCAAGACCAAAGAGCTGTCAAAGGACACCAGAAACAAAATTGTAGACCTGCACCAGGCTGGGAAGACTGAATCTGCAATAGGTAAGCAGCTTGGTTTGAAGAAATCAACAGTGGGAGCAATTATTAGGAAATGGAAGACATACAAGACCACTGATAATCTCCCTCGATCTGGGGCTCCACGCAAGATCTCACCCCGTGGGGTCAAAATGATCACAAGAACGGTGAGCAAAAATCCCAGAACCACACGGGGGGACCTAGTGAATGACCTGCAGAGAGCTGGGACCAAAGTAACAAAGCCTACCATCAGTAACACACTACGCCGCCAGGGACTCAAATCCTGCAGTGCCAGACGTGTCCCCCTGCTTAAGCCAGTACATGTCCAGGCCCATCTGAAGTTTGCTAGTGTGCATTTGGATGATCCAGAAGAGGATTGGGAGAATGTCATATGGTCAGATGAAACCAAAATAGGACTTTTTGGTAAAAACTCAACTCGACGTGTTTGGAGGACAAAGAATGCTGAGTTGCATCCAAAGAACACCATACCTACTGTGAAGCATGGGGGTGGAAACATCATGCTTTGGGGCTGTTTTTCTGCAATGGGACCAGGACGACTGATCCGTGTAAAGGAAAGAATGAATGGGGCCATGTATCGTGAGATTTTGAGTGAAAACCTCCTTCCATCAGCAAGGGCATTGAAGATGAAACGTGGCTGGGTCTTTCAGCATGACAATGATCCCAAACACACCGCCCGTGCAACGAAGGAGTGGCTTCGTAAGAAGCATTTCAAGATCCTGGAGTGGCCTAGCCAGTCTCCAGATCTCAACCCCATAGAAAATATTTGGAGGCAGTTGAAAGTCTGTGTTGCCCAGCGACAGCCCCAAAACATCACTGCTCTAGAGGAGATCTGCATGGAGGAATGGGCCAAAATACCAGCAACAGTGTGTGAAAACCTTGTGAAGACTTACAGAAAACGTTTGACCTGTGTCATTGCCAACAAAGGGTATATAACAAAGTATTGAGAAACTTTTGTTATTGACCAAATACTTATTTTCCACCATAATTTGCAAATAAATTCATTAAAAATCCTACAATGTGATTTTCTGGAAAAATTTTTCTTCTTCATTTTGTCTGTCATAGTGGACGTGTACCTATGATGAAAATTACAGGCCTCTCTCATATTTTTAAGTGGGAGAACTTGCACAATTGGTGGCTGACTAAATACTTTTTTCTTTTGATAAACACATTTCATGCAATTCTACTACACTTTATATGACTGGAGACATTAGCAATCTTTTTTAATACAACAAATCATGGGGTAGCCTAGGCCTCCTTTGCTGACACTGACAAACAGATAAATAAAAACGACCTTCTATTGAATGCAACCATTTAATCTAGACCGGCAAAGGGGAGACACAAATTGTACAAAATGTCCGACTTCCGAGCGCTCAAGACAATGTTTTTAACGGTCATCCAACTCCATGCCAAGTCGGAAACTCAGGCATCTTTCTAGAGCTCTGACTTTCCGACCAGAAGATCACTGACGTCATGATTTGACCTAGTCCCCCCAGTTGTCTTGAAAGCACCATTATTGTCCCAAAAAACTCCAGTGGCACTGACCCAATTAAAATTTGTTGAGAACTTTATTCATAAGATGGAAAATGCATGGACATTACAGCATAGGACAAAGGCCTCAATGGGATAGGGCAACCTGCTGTGTTGACCATTGGTTGTTCCAGCCCAACAATCTATTTCATCTGTATATGACACTAAAACACCTGAATGAATTAAACACAACCAAACAATCAAGAGCCCTGATGGTATAGGTGACCTGAATAAGTGATATTCTAACATCAGGTGTGCTTTTCATTTGTTTATGTACTGTACTGTAGGTTCACCAGCTGTCCTCTATCAAGACACCCATGTCGACTGGATTCCCACTGGAGAAGATGAGCAATGCTGCAGCAGCATCAGTTTCTACTATAATAGATACATCTATTCCAGCCCAGCAATAGTACACTTTAATGATCAACTAATTAGGTTTGATACATTTAATTCACGTGTGTTAGTGCTGGGCTGGAACAGAAGCCTGCACACCCAGCAGGGTTGACCTGCTCCAGTTGTAATAGGTTTATACGTCCGGGTTTGGCCGGTGTAGGCCGTCATTGTAAATAAGAATTTGTTCTTAACTGACTTGCCTAGTTAAATAAAGGTAAAATAAAAAATTAAAATAAAATACATTGTGACTTACAAACAATTTTTGTTTAAATTTGCTAACATTAGGTACACATATAACCCATGGTATACAAGAATGTACCCTTATTCTCTCGGGACATTCATTGAGACCTCTTCATCTGCAGACAGGGTTCCACAGCTCTCTGTATCTGAGGATTATTGACATAAAGAAACAGGCTTCATTATACTCAAATTAGACAGCACTGAATAATATGTTGGTACCTGCCCTATCCAAAGTAGCCTACTCTCTCCCTTATCTGACAGCTGGCGCTGCTAACATTAATCCTTTCACCCTCTTCCATGACTGTTAGCTAGCTACCAAGCTATGAATGCATGGAGTTTGTTTAAATTTACAATGATAAATACATCATGGTAGCTAACTATCTAATATGAAGTTAGCTAGCTGGTAATATTTTATTCACTTAGCTAGTTAACTTAACATACTGTATAGCTAGCTACGTTAGCAGCTCATTTGAGTTAGCCTGCACACTAGTTCCTGTAGCAAGCTAGCTAGCTAATATTACATAGTAAAATATATATATATATATATATATATTCACTTACTTGAATAGGTTCTCCCACTGACTCCGTTTTCTGGGTCCTTACAAAAAAACGAAATAATGGCACATTTTCCCGATATTTCCGGTGATAGCAAAACGCAGCCAGCCACGTGGACGATTGGAGGACTTCCACAGAGAGGAAGAGGTAGAGAGAGGCCAAACTTGGCGGAAAATCTGTCTCCCTCCAGCAGGTGGCTTTTTTCCCATTGTTTCACCCACCAAGCAAGGAGTTTTTGTATTGAGGTCAATGAGTGTCGAATTTGGTCAACAACATTTTGTATGGCTTATTTGCAACGTAAGGTTTATGTAATCTAATAGAAGTTTAGTAATGCTTAGGTTGTTACAAGTGTACTGATATAAGTTGGAGACGCGACATCCTGGCAACTTTGAGTAAAAACACTTTATATCAGAGTTGTCTTGAGATAGCTATGCATATTCATGGCATGAGGCTAGTAGCATAGTATCGCTCTCCATTGAATACAGGCGGATCAAATATTCAGAATAATTTGATGTATCCACCAATCCAGAAATTAAGGATAGGTGCGAGCTTGACAGCCCACCATGCCACTTTGTGGACAACAACTCCCATTGTTAGGGCAGTGAGACATGTACAGTGCATTCGGAATGTATTCAGACCCCTTAACTTTTTCCACATTTTGTTACAGCCTTATTCTAAAATGGATGAAATTGTTTTTTTCCCCTCACCAATCTACACACAATACCCCATTACGACAAAGCAAAAACAGTCTTTTAGAATTTTTTACACACTTATTCAAAATAAAAAACGGAAATATCACATTTACATAAGTATTCAACCCTTTACTCAGTACTTTGTTGAAGCACCTTTGGCAGCAATTACAGCCTTGAGTCTTCTAGGGTATAACGCTACTCATGGTTTCTCATGGTCTGAGAGTCCTTTAGTTGCCTTTTGGCAAACTCCAAGCGGGCTGTCATGTGTCATGTGCCTTTTACTGAGGAGTGGTTTCCGTCTGGCCAATGTACCATAAAGACCTGATTAGTGGAGTGCTGCAGAGAAGGTTGTCGTTCTGGAAGGTTCTCCCATCTCCACAGAGGAACTCTGGAGCTCTGTCAGAGGGACTAACGGGTTCTTGGTCACCTCCCTGACCAAGGCCCTTCTCCCCCGATTGCTCAGTTTGGCCGGGCGGCCAGCTCTAGGAAGAGTCTTGGTGGTTCCAAACTTCTTCCATTTAAGAATGATGGAGGCCACTGTGTTCTTGGGGACCTTCAATGCTGCAGAAATTTTTTGGTACCCTTCCTCAGATCTGTGCCTCGACACAATCCTGTCTCGGAGCTCTACAGACAATTCCTTCGACCTCATGGCTTGGGCTCTGACATGCACTGTCAACTGTGGGACCTTATATAGACAGGTGTGTGCCTTTCCAAATAATGTCCAATCAATTGAATGGTGGACACCAATCAAGTTGTAGAAACATCTCAAGGATGATCAATGGAAACAGGATGCACCTGAGCACAATTGAGTCTCATAGCAAAGGGTCTGAATACTTATGTAAATAACGTAAATAACACCCTGTTTTTGCTTTGTCATTATGGGATAGTGTGTAGATTGCTGAGGATTTGTATTTATTTAATCGATTTTAGAATAAGGCTGTAACGTAACAAAATGTGGAAAAAGTCAAGGGGTCTGAATACTTTTCGAATGCACTGTATCTTGTGAGTAAATCCATAATCTTTTACTTCCACCAGACTGACTCTGGTCTTCCAACATGGCGCCTGGTTTGGTTGCTAGGTGATTTGTGACAATTGAAAACCCTCTATACAACAACTTGTTGAAGGGGACTAAAGCTGGACAATTTGGTTGTCTAGAACTGGCATTTCGGTTGACATTTAAAACAAGTTGGCGTAACAACTAACACAGGGTTGCCCTAATACAACCTTCGGTCTATGTAGGGCTGCAAAAACTTTTTCAGAAATCACAGTTGGAGGATTTCTGGAATCAGCAGGGAATGAGCTGCGAGGGAACCCTCCAACTTGGACATCTTCAACCGGGATTTCTGAAAAAGCAGCGAATTTGGGGAAAGTTTTGAAATTTTGCAACCCTAGACCTGCATTGACGTCTTTCACCTCTGACCTGAAAGGGCTTCTCCCCCGTGTGGACTCTAAGGTGGACGCTGAGCGATGAGCCGGTGGTGAAGTCCTTCCCACAGTGTTGGCAGTGGAAGGGACGGGGCTTGGGGAGGTCGGCGGCGGCCACCGTGTCCCCGGGCGCCGGGCAGTGGGTGAGGAGGTGCTCCTCCAGGGAGGCCGCCGTTGCATAGCGCCGTCTGCAGGGGGTCATGGGGCAGCGCAGGGGGGTCTGTCCGGCGTGGGACAGTCTGTGGAGGTCCAGGCCTTCCTTGGTGACACAGCGGTGGTGGCAGAACTCACAGTCCAGAAGCCTTGTGGTCCTGTCCCGCCTTCCGCCTTGGCCACGGCCTCTACCCTGGCCTCTACCCAGGCCCGTTCCCTTAACAACCAGGCCTATGTCCACCATTCCTGTACAGAGAAGGAAGTCAGTGCGATTACATGGCACAGAAGCACCCATGTTAAGTGAGCATATGCAGAAAAGCAGAGGGTTAGAAAACAGTTTAGAAACGTAGAACTGTACATGGTTGAGAATATCAGTGAGAATATCAAAAGAACCACACAATAACAAGGACAATTACCAAAGTCCTAATTAAATCAAAAGAGTAAACAGGCTAGACCCTAATACAACAAGATATTACGAAAATACTTTTAATTGAAATAGGTCAAAGTAAAACATCTTCCATCATTGTAGGCAACAACTTCCAACAGATACACTAACATTATTAAGGGGTAAATAATGTGGTGGTGGGGTAAATAAAGTGGCGGGGGAAACTCATTAGTCAAAGTGAAAGGGGGAGTATTCACAAGACCGAGGTGACTGCGCGAGGCCTTGTAAGTTGTGTTGCAACACTGCCCTTGATGACCTGGCTTACTGGGCCCAAGCCAGCGTGATTTAATAATGATAACAAAACTAACAACATAAATCAGCAGGTAATGGCCTGTGAAACACACAGCGTATTAAAATAGATAATGTGTTGTGACAGGGGTGGCAGGGTTGGCGGTTGTTGTACGGCATTGTGGATAGTGGGGGATTTGTCTCTCTGCCTAGTCTTTTCTCTTATACATTTAGTTAGCGGTTCATATGGATATGAACGCTCGCTGACTTTATTAAATGAAATGTATTGATATTATGCTGGCGCAATCAACCGCAGAGCGCGGGTGCGATCAATCGCTTAGCCGAGGGCAGACTTGATGTAGGGATGCGCATATGGCACAGAGACTGGCGTAGATACGGGTGCATATGCAAAGCAACAGGCAGACGGCCAAGTGTAGTAATACAGGCAAGTAGGTGCTTGAAGAGCCACCCACACGGTCAAACACACACTCAGAAACACACAGAATGACATCATGCAGGGCTATCAAAACCATGCAGATAAACGATTAAAGAAAGATTTGAGAGCACAGACTGGTAAAGAAATCCACACACAAATGCATGCACACCCTATTAATATTACTCTGACCGTCGTGTGTGAGACCATGAAGCTTCAGCCTGCTCTTGTGGAAGAAGTGTTCACCACAGATGGAGCAGGTGAACGGATACTTCCCCGTATGAGAGTATCTGACGGCCATTTCAAGGGAAAAGAGAGACAATTAGATATGTTTTCTGAAAATATGGAAATACAATTTCAAGTGAAAAGCACTTATTTCTAATTCAACGTTCACCATATAAGGCCAGGAGTCTTTCCTTACCACGTGACCAGACCAGGAAAGACTCCTGGCCTTAATCATGGTCCTATATGAAATTCACAATAAGACAACATCTATACAACCTCATACAAAATCAACATAGGACATCCTTATACATGTGTATTCAAACAGAGCTGTGCTAATATACTGTAGATTGTTTAAAGCTTCGCGCCTCAGGTCATGACTCTATTGATCAACACAACCCTTCTGCAATAGACATGACACGTATAAAACTTCTGACCCAGTGTTTATCACAGTCCCTCTCGCATATAATAAAAGCTGTGTTGTTGTCTGTCTGTGTTGTCTGTCTGTGTTGTCTGTCTGTGTTGTCTGTCTGTGTTAAAATGTCCTAGTGGATGATGAGGCAGTCTAATTCGATCAAAAATCTTCTGAATGAAAGTTAATGAGTTGTGGTGCAGTGTCATTACTTCCACCCCGCCACACAGTAACTCATGAGTGAGAGCAGGTTGGTTGGCACTGTGCTGGGTTGTGTTCATTAGGCACCAAATTGAAGAAAACAGGCCTGAAACAGGGAGGGACTACATGGACTAGTATAATAAGAACTAAGAACTGTTTTCGTTTTCCGTAGAAAAATATTTTGCTACGGTGTGCCATAATGAATACTGGTGTCTATGATGGATGGTAAAGAGCAAGAGAGAACCCCGGCCTTCAGCCATGTTACTAATGGGCTAGCACGTAATGACAGGTCTGTGTGTGTGTGGCAGTCCTATGTAGCCACGTAATGGTAGGTCCACCAGACAGATCTCTCAATGTGATTACACTGTCAATTCATATCCGCGGGCAAGAATAAAACAAAATTGCATTGGAGTATACCGAAATATGATTGACCGCAAGCGATTCATAAATCGATTCCTTTTACTTGTGTTATTATACTGGAATTTGTTATGTCCATCATGGTCGGGAACTAATGTTGATTAACTATTGAAGCATTCGTCTAGTAATAATATGAATATTACGATTATAATTCCATCATTGACTGAACACTTTCCCATTTCAAATTGTCAGACTCCAGCCACCCAAATCATAGACTGTTCTCTCAAGCAAGCGGTACCGGAACGCCAAGTCTGGGACCAAAAGGCTTCTGAACAGCTTCTACCCCCAAGCCATAAGACTGCTGAACAGTTAGTTAATCAAACGGCTACCCAGACTATTTGCATTGACACCCTTTCTTTTTGTTGCACTGACTCTCTTGCGTTGGCTATGCACTCACTGGACTCTACCGGCACACTCACAGATACTACACTGACACTCCAACACACACACACACACACACACACGCTCACACTCTTCACATATACTGCTGCTACTCTTGTTTATTATCTATCCTGATTGCCTAGTCACTTTTACCCCTACCTACATATTACCTCACTACCTCGTACCCCTGCATTGACTCATATGTAGTCATTGTTCTTTTATTGTTACTATTTAAAAACATTTATTAGGTACTTTTCCTTACTTTTTAACTCTGCATCGTTGGGAAAGGGCTCGTAAGTAAGCATTTCACGGTAAAGTCTACACCTAATGTATTCGGCGCATGTGACAAATAACATTTTATTTGTATACACTTCTATGTATCTCTGTGCACAACTGTACAGTCTGATGATTCTGTATGTATGAACGCAGGCCTTGCCTTCATATGTTCAATTGTATTGTATGAGCACTGAGCAGCATGTATGTAATTATGCTCTTGTGCTCCCCATGATAACACCTTCTTAATTGCCCCAAAGTCTTATACTGGTCTGAATGAAGAGCAATCGGTAATCAGCTTAGTATTTTGCTGTGTTACAATGTAATTACCAGTGTTTTGTTAAACACCTCAACTAAGAGGCCACATCAAAGCAGGCATAGAGAGAGGCATAATTGCCCCTAAGGCGATAAATAAAGTTGAATTGAATTGAACTAAATTGAATTCAGGCCAAACTCAATTGAATTGATGGCCAGACATACCTGTGAACCGGCACCTGAGAGGACATTCGGAAGCAGCGTGGACAATCAGGGCATTTGTATCGAAAACACTTTGGGTACTTTGATTTCTTTGACTCTGCATCATTGACCACACCACGCCCCTTCTCCATCCCCTCCTCCTTGACCGTCTGCTCCTTCACCACAACGCCATCTTGGTTCAAGGCGTCCTGGCGTTCGTGGAGTAGGTGGTGGGTCTTCAGCGTGCCCAACAGTGTGTAGCTCTTGCCGCAGCGCAGGCAGGTATACGGCTTGTGGGCGCTGTGGGTGATACGGTGGCGCGTCACACATCTGTTGTAGGCGAACGTCTTGGGGCAGAGGTCACACTTAAACGGCTTGAGGCCTGAGTGGGCCTGGATGTGTGTTCGCAAGCGGCTGCGGCTCTTGAAGAAACGCCCGCAATGGGGGCACGGTCCGAAGGGGACGGAGGGGTCGCCGGGTGTCGTTTCCAGGGCTGGTAGGGAGGTGGAAGGGTCAGGGAGGGTGGTGGTAGTGAGGGGTGGATGGGTTGGGGTCTCTTCTTCGCCACTCACCACAGCTGAAAGAATTACGGAAGTCAATAATGAACTCATCCACATAAATAAGTAGGCACTAAAGTGGACACAAAATGTGAGAAAACGTTTTAAAACGGAAGAGGTGCCCCTGGATATTATCCAATGAAAACACAGATGAGCATTTTCCGTTTCAAAATGTTTTGCTACATTGTACTCTACTGAACACAGCCCAGTCTTCCATGCTCCTTTAGTAAGCCTACCTAGTACCTACCACTGTTGCTTTTCCACTGGAACAGAGGCTTAGGTATAATGTGGTCCACCTGGGGTGTGGAGCCCTCCGAGTCCCCTTCCCCTCTGTCTCGATGCTGCCTGCGGTGGTAGAGGTACTTGGTAGTGTTCATAAAGCTCTCTCCACACACGTCACAGTGATGTAGCGCCCCCGCCAAGCCGTGGATGGCCATGCGGTGCAGCTTCAGCGCCGACTCAGTGCTGAAGCCCGAGCCACAGGCCGCACAGAAGGAGGTCTGGCTCGAGGAGGAAGCAGTTGGATTGGAACTACAGGCAGCAGGGTTTGTAAACATGGGAGTGTTGGGGAAGGAATTCTGGGAATTGGAGTATGTTTCTGATTCCAATTCATTCTCAATGCTATATTCTTGTTCCATCCCTCCTCCATAGTCTACCTCTTTCTCCCTCTCTTTGTCATCATCCTCCACTATTTTCACACCTATCCCTCCATCACTCTGTCCCTCTACCCCCTTTTCATCTCCTATCACAGGCCAACACTCTGTATCCATTTCCTGGTCCCTTGGTTCTGACCCAGTGGTTGCAGAACAGTTACCCAGCTTGCTGTGCTTCTGCCACAGCCCCAGGGACTCAAACAACACCTCACATTCCCTACACTGGTAGTGGATGAGCAGGGCCGGGCTAGTCAGGTTTTGAGTTTGGGTCTGGTTTTGGGGGCCGTTGCAACCGGTCGGACTCCCAGTCGCTCTCTTCTCCAGGGAATGCAGGTAGGGCAGGTTTGGGTTCGTAATGAAGGTTCTCTTTTGGTTTCTCTCTTGGTGCTGGGATGGTCCATTCTGAGACTGAAGTGCCACTCCGGAGCTCTAGGACATCAGCACACAGAGAAATAAGTCGAAACACAGAAAAAAGGAAACAGTGTTATACAAAAACAATAGTTATTTTTGTGATCACTTATGTTTTTTGATACTAAGGTGGCATTTGAACGCTTGTCATGAGTGCAAACCTGTTGCTAGCTGATTAGTTTGTTGCTAGGGATAATCGGTAGCTAAGGACTAGTTTTCATAGCAACATAACGCATTAGCTCAGGGAGTGTCACGCACCACAGTCCTCAAGGGCCGCCGGGTCTACCTTTCACGTTTCTCTCTCCCTGACACTTACGTGATCGATTTATGTCACTGACTAGACATGTCTCAAATGGCACCCTAGGGCCCAGAGGGCCAGAAATAGTGCCCAATAAAGGGAATAGTCTCCCATTTGGGACGCATCAGAGGTCTACAATCTGATGAAAGGAGGCTATGATGAATAGAGGCAGACACCCTGCAGCCCACAAAGACTGTCTGGAGGTTCAGAGGTGGTTGATACCAAAGCCTTTTCCTTGTAAAGATTTCTTAGGTCATCACTATCTGGCCATGATAGAAAGGACGAAGTTATAAGACTTTCTAACCGAAAAAAACAATTTTAACCACTTTCCATTACTTTAACCCTAACTTATCCTTACTCCTAATCCTACATAAAGAACAAATAGCTCATGTTCATTATCCTGACCAGAAAGTCTGTCAATATTGCCGTTTTGGTCCTTTCAAACATGGCCATCTAGCGACATCGCCTATGGGTGCAGTACCTCAGCCTGTGGAGTAGGTGGCGCTGTATGGACTGTCTCCTCTGTGTTGACAGGTTGGCAGGTGAGCTGATGAGAGATCACCACCTCCAGAGAGTTGAATATCTGGCAGCAGGTAGAGCACAAGTAGAGGGACGAGTCCATGCCTATAGCTGAGAGGAATGAACACATTATACACAAAGAAATACAGAAAAACACACACACATACATACACATGCACACACACTCACAAGACCGCAACCCAATGAACCCATGATTTAAGCAAACACACAAATACACAACAAGCACACATATCAAACACACTCCAAATACTCACCAAGACTGCAATCCAATTAAAACACACACACACCAAGACAGACAGACACACACAGTAAATTGTCTCACAGCTGTCAGCCCGCTCCCTCCCTATCACATTGAATGCTTAGAGATGGATAATGCTGGTAGGCTGACATACTGAGGCTGGCTGCACATTAGCTGTTCCCCTTGGGGGGGGGGGGGTAGATGGGTGTGAAACAGTCAGTGTGAATCTCTCTCTCTTTTGTCTCTCATCCCTCTCTTTCATTGGACTCTCTGTGTGAGTGTGTAAGCTTTCTGAGGGTAAAACAGATGGCTGTTCACTAACTGTTTGGCTAGGGACCCTCTCTGCCTCAACATGTACGCGCACACAAATGATAAACAGACTATGACCCTCACAACAGAGCGGATTCCACAAATGCTGCACCATTTGGTTTGGTGCCATTAATAACAATCTCGCTTAGATTTGGACCTTGATAGGCGCTTGGAGCTAAATGTGTTTTAAACGTGTGGAACAGCGGTAATTTCCTGAGTTGACATGATGTAACAGGAGAGTGCAATAGCCAACACAACTCCAAGGAGATATGAGAGATCTTAGATATACAGTGGGGAAAAAAAGTATTTAGTCAGCCACCAATTGTGCATGTTCTCCCACTTAAAAAGATGAGAGAGGCCTGTAATTTTCTTCATAGGTACAAGTCAACTAGGACAGACAAAATGAGGAAAAAAAATCCAGAAAATCACATTGTAGGATTTTTTATGAATTTATTTGCAAATTATGGTGAAAAATAAGTATTTGGTCAATAACAAAAGTTTCTCAATAGTTTGTTATATACCCTTTGTTGGCAATGACACAGGTCAAACGTTTTCTGTAAGTCTTCACAAGGTTGTCACACACTGTTGCTGGTATTTTGGCCCATTCCTCCATGCAGATCTCCTCTAGAGCAGTGATGTTTTGGGGCTGTCGCTGGGCAACACAGACTTTCAACTCCCTCCAAAGATTTTCTATGGGGTTGAGATCTGGAGACTGGCTAGGCCACTCCAGGACCTTGAAATGCTTCGTACGAAGCCACTCCTTCGTTGCCCGGGCGGTGTGTTTGGGATCATTGTCATGCTGAAAGAACCAGCCACGTTTCATCTTCAATGCCCTTGCTGACGGAAGGAGGTTTTCACTCAAAATCTCACGATACATGGCCCCATTCATTCTTTCCTTTACACGGATCAGTCGTCCTGGTCCCTTTGCAGAAAAACAGCCCCAAAGCATGATGTTTCCACCCCCATGCTTCACAGTAGGTATGGTGTTCTTTGGATGCAACTCAGCATTCTTTGTCCTCCAAACACGACGAGTTGAGTTTTTACCAAAAAGTTCTATTTTGGTTTCATATGACATTCTCCCAATCCTCTTCTGGATCATCCAAATGCACTCTAGCAAACTTCAGACGGGCCTGGACATGTACTGGCTTAAGCAGGGGGACACGTCTTGCACTGCAGGATTTGAGGCCCTGGCGGCGTAGTGTGTTGCTGATGGTAGGCTTTGTTACTTTGGTCCCAGCTCTCTGCAGGTCATTCACTAGGTCCCCCCGTGTGGTTCTGGGATTTTTGCTCACCGTTCTTGTGATCATTTTGACCCCACGGGGTGAGATCTTGCGTGGAGCCCCAGATCGAGGGAGATTATCAGTGGTCTTGTATGTCTTCCATTTCCTAATAATTGCTCCCACAGTTGATTTCTTCAAACCAAGCTGCTTACCTATTGCAGATTCAGTCTTCCCAGCCTGGTGCAGGTCTACAATTTTGTTTCTGGTGTCCTTTGACAGCTCTTTGGTCTTCGCCATAGTGGAGTTTGGAGTGTGACTGTTTGAGGTTGTGAACAGGTGTCTTTTATACTGATAACAAGTTCAAACAGGTGCCATTAATACAGGTAACAAGTGGAGGACAGAGGAGCCTCTTAAAGAAGAAGTTACAGGTCTGTGAGAGCCAGAAATCTTGCTTGTTTGTAGGTGACCAAATACTTATTTTCCACCATAATTTGCAAATAAATTCATTAAAAATCCTACAATGTGATTTTCTGGATTTTTTTTCTCAATTTGTCTGTCATAGTTGACGTGTACCTATGATGAAAATGACAGGCCTCTCTCATCTTTTTAAGTGGGAGAAATTGCACAATTGGTGGCTGACTAAATACTTTTTTTCCCCACTGTATGTGTTTCCCAGTTAAAAAATGCTTTGACTGTGCCTGCTCTGACAATGGCACCTTAACCTCGGAGCTCTGTATTGCTCCCATATGGTTTCACCTTTCTAACAATGTGGACTTCTACTACACATCTAAAAGCCCAAATTAAATGGCAATATTTGATAACCTTGGTTGGGTGAATTATAATACGTGTGGCAGTGTGAGAGTAAAGCATGTCTGTCAACAATGTTTCATCTATTTAGTCATTGATTAGTAATCACTCACTATATTAATCTTACATTAATCTTCATTTTCCGGTCTAAAGTGCTGCCCATGCACTTGTTCGTAAACTGAGGTGGTGGGTTTTGGTGAATATAAGCCCTTTCTTTTATTTTGCATCTTTGCAAAAATGTGTTTGTAGTAGGTTATATAAAACTACAGAAAAAGGGTGAAATATTGTAGACAGTTGTGCCACCACAGCTGTGCTGATAGTTCTAGAATGCCAAGCAGTTGGCACCATTGCTGACAGCAGCCTTCAGTGTGCAAAGCAAATAGTGATTGACTGTGCAATGAGGCCCCCAGGCTCGACAGTGTATAATGTACAAACGGTGAGGAATTTCCAAGGAGATGAAACCATTGTTTTTAATCCTCTAAAAGCTTTGGCACTCAAACTTGCCTCTCCAACACTGCACTTGAGGGTGGATCTTCTTTTAATGATAAAAAAAAAATGTCAGGAAAACATTGGCCGTTAATCGCGTGCACAGGTTGTAACCAGGCAACACATCTTTACATACTAAGTGGAGAAACATTGAACTGGCCTAAAGGACTGTAGGCATCTGAAAGTCATTGAAAGAGAACTAGCCTATAGGGCCTTGTATGGTGTTACTGTGTGTATGACAGAGGCCTAGGCAAAGTCTGTTAGAACATTACATACGATCTCTGACCTAGGCCTATAGGCATATTCAACCCTTGATCCTCCAATGTTTTCTTTTGTTTGTCTGTAGGACTACAGCGCATTTGGGAAAGTATTCAGACCCCTTCCCTTTTTCCACATTTTGTTACGTTACAGCCTTATTCTAAAATGGATCAAATAAAACAAAGTTCCTCATAAATCTACACACAATACCCCATAATGACAAAGAGAAAACAGGTTTTTAGAAATTTTAGCAATTCAGACCCTTTGCTATCCACTGTAGTGCATTCAGAAAGTATTCAGACCCCTTCCCTTTTTCCACATTTTGTTATGTTACAGCCTTATTCTAAAATCAATTAAATAAATACAAATCCTCAGCAATCTACACACAATACCCCATAATGACAAAGCAAAAACAGGCTAGAAATGTTTGCAAATGTATTAAAAATAAAAACAGAAATACGTTATTTACATAAGTATTCAGACCCTTTGCTATGAGACTCGAAATTGAGCTCAGGTGCATCCTGTTTCCATTGATCACCCTTGAGATGTTTCTACAACTTGATTGGAGTCCACCTGTGATAATTTCAATTGATTGGACATGATTTGGAAAGGAACACACGTCTATGTAAGGTCCCACAGTTGACGGTGCATGTCAGAGCAAAAACCAAGCCATGAGGTCAAAGGAATTGTCCAAAGATCTCCGAGACAGGATTGTGTCGAGGCACAGATCTGGGGAAGGGTACCAAAAAATGTCTGCAGCTTTGAAGGTCCCCAAGAACACAGCGGCCTCCATCATTCTTAAATGGAAGAAGTTAGGAACCACCTAGACTCTTCCTAGAGCTGGCCGCCCAGCCAAACTGAGCAATCGGGGGAGAAGAGCCTTGGTCAGGGAGGTGACCAAGAACCCGATGGTCACTCTGACAGAGCTCTAGAGTTCCTCTGTGGAGATGGGAGAACTTTGCAGGAGGACAACCATCTCAGCAGCACTCCACCAATCAGGCCTTTATGGTACAGTGGCCAGATGGAAGCCACTCCTCAGTAAAAGGCACATGACAGGCCGCTTGGAGTTTGCCAAAAGACAAACCTCTGTAACTCAATTGGTAGAGCATGGCGCTTGTAACGCCAGGGTAGTGGGTTCGATCCCCGGGACCACCCATACGTAAAAATGTATGCACACATGACAGTAAGTCGCTTTGGATAAAAGCTTCTGCTAAATGGCATATTATTATTATTAACTATAGGACTCTCAGACTATGATTGAAACCAAGACTGAACTCTTTGGCCTGAATGCCAAGCGTCACGTCTGGAGGAAACCTGGCACCATCTTTACGGTGAAGCATAGTGGTGGCAGCATCATGCTGTGGGGATGTTTTTCAGCGGCAGGGACTGGGAGACTAGTCAGGATCGAGGGAAAGATGAACAGAGCAAAGTACAGAGAGATCCTTGATGAAAACCTGCTCCAGAGCGCTCAGGACCTCAGACTAGGGCGAAGGTTCACCTTCCAACAGGACAATGACCCTAAGCACACAGCCAAGACAACGCAGGAGTGGCTTCGGTCTCAATGTACTTGAGCGGCCCAGCCAGAGCCCGGACTTCAACCCGATCGAATATCTCTGGAGACCTGAAAATAACTGCTTTTCCTTCACTCTGCCGTCCAACTTATCCCAAACCATCTCAATTGGGTTGAGGTCGGGGGATTGTGGAGGCCAGGTCATCTGATGCAGCACTCCATCACGCTCCTTCTTGGTACAATAGCCCTTACACAGCCTGGAGGTGTGTTGGGTCATTGTCCTGTTGAAAAACAAATGATAGTCCCACTAAGCCCAAACCAGATGGGATGGCGTATCGCTGCAGAATGCTGTGGTAGCCATGCTGGTTAAGTGTGCCTTGAATTCTAAATATATCACTGACAGTGTCACCAGCAAAGCACCCACACACCATAACACCTCCTCCTCCATGCTTTACGGTGGGAACTACAGATGCGGAGATCATCTGTTCACCCACACCGCGTCTCACAAAAACATGGCAGTTGGAACCAAAAATCTCAAATTTGGACTCCAGACCAAAGGACACATTTACACCGGTCTAATGTCCATTGCTCGTGTTTCTTGGCTCAAGCAAATCTCTTCTTCTTATTGGTGTCCTTTAGTAGTGGTTTCTTTGCAGCAATTCGACCATGAAAGCCTGATTCACACAGTTCCCTCTAAACAGTTGATGTTGAGATGTTACTTGTTACAGTTTCATCATAGCGCTTGATGGTTTTTGCGACTGCACTTGAAGAAACGTTCAAAGTTCTTTAAATGTTTCGTATTGACTGACATTCATGTCTTAAGTAATGATGGACTGTCGTTTCTCTTTGCCTACTTTGAAGAATCTCAAATATATTTTGATTTGTTTAACACTTTTTGGTTACTACATGATTCCATATGTGTTCTTTTATAGTTTTGATTTCTTCACTATTATTCTGCAATGTAAAAATAAACAAAAACCCTTGAATGAGTAGGTGTCCAAACTTCTGACTGGTAGTGTACAGTCGTGGTCAAAAGTTTTGAGAATGACACAAATATTAATTTTCACAAAGTCTGCTGTCTCAGTTTTTATGATGGCAATTTGCATATCCTCCAGAATGTTATGAAGAGTGATCAGATTAATTGCAATTAATTGCGAAGTCCCTCTTTGCCATGAAAATGAACTTAATCCCAAAAAAACATTTCCACTGCATTTCAGCCCTGCCACAAAACACAGGTGAGTGTGTTGACGAGGACAAGGCTGGAGATCACTCTGTCATGCTGATTGAGTTAGAATAACAGACTGGAAGCTTTAAAAGGAGGATGGTGCTCAAAATCATTGTTCTTCCTCTGTTAACCATGGTTACCTGCAAGGAAACACGTGACATCATCATGGCTTTGCACAAAAAGGGCTTCACAGGCAAGGATATTGCTGCTAGTAAGATTGCACCTAAATCAACCATTTATCGGATCATCAAGAACTTCAAGAAGAGAGGTTCAATTGTTGTGAAGAAGGCTTCAGAGCGCCCAAGAAAGTCCAGCAAGCGCCAGGACCGTCTCCTAAAGTTGATTCAGCTGCGGGATCGGGGCACCACCAGTGCAGAGCTTGCTCAGGAATGGCAGCAGGCAGGTGTGAGTGCATCTGCACGCACAGTGAGGTGAATACTTTTGGAGGATGGCGTGGTGTCAAGAAGGGCAGCAAAGAAGCCACTTCTCTCCAGGAAAAACATCAGGGACAGACTGATATTCTGCAAAAGGTACAGGGATTGGACTGCTGAGGACTGGGGCAAAGTCATTTTCTCTGATGAATCCCCTTTGCGATTGTTTGGGGCATCCGGAAAAAAGCTTGTCCGGAGAAGACAAGGTGAGCGCTACCATCAGTCCTGTGTCATGCCAACAGTAAAGCATCCTGAGACCATTCATGTGTGGGGTTGGTTCTCAGCCAAGGGAGTGGGCTCACTCACAATTTTGCCTAAGAACACAGCCATGAATAAAGAATGGTACCAACCCATCCTCTAAGAGCAACTTCTCCCAACCATCCAAGAACAGTTTGGTGACAAACAATGCCTTTTCCAGCATGATGGAGCACCTTGCCATAATGCAAAAGTGATAACAGCTGTGGTAGCTGTGGTCGGGAGAGGTTGTGTTTTCTCTAGCAGGAGGTAAGCTTGGCTTCTTATATGGTGTTGAGTAAAGCTTAAACCATGTATTTAGATTGTAGGTAGGTAGTTGTAGTTAGGTATTGTAGGTAGTTTATTTAGGTAGTTATTTAGGTAATTATTGTAGGTTTCTGTAGGTAATTATTGTAGGTAAGTATTGTTTACGGCGGAGCCCGGCAAAGCACGAGGCTAGCTAGCTAGCGGGTAGCTACTGGTAACGTTTAGCAACGGTGGAGAGTTGTTTCCAATGTTATTTCACGCTTAAGAGTACCTGTAATTAAGCCAGCTAGCTACCTACCATTCAGCCGTTTTTCTAACCTCATTATCTGAGCCATCAACGCTAGGTAGTTAGTAGCTACTGTACTTAATTACACCTACTGATTGCAGAAGACAAATGTCAGCTGGCGTCGGGTAAGTTTGGCTTTATACATAGCTTGGGCTTTGTCGAGTAAGGCTTAATTATGTATTTAGATTGTAGTTAGGTATTGTAGGTAGGCCCGCAGCACGAAGCTAGCTAGCTAGCCGTTTTTCAAACAAAGTCAACACAGTAGCCATTGCTAGCTAGCCAACACGACCAGCTAACTGTACTGTAGTAGCTAAATACAATATATTTGTGCTAGCTAGCCAACGTTTAATTTTTGCTGCGTTATGAAAGGAACTAGACACGGACACGAATTATCTGTTTAGTGTGTTAACACACTATTGGTAGTTTGTTGTAACCAAGTATT